ACAGCACCGTCTTGTATATATCGGTGGGTATTTGAGTGGGTGTGAGAGAGCGAGAAAGAACAGTGAGTAGGAATGTATTCTTGAGAGAGAGAAAGGATAGGTATGCGTATATGAGTGAGAAAGAATGTGTGTATGTGTGAATGACAGTCTGTGTGTATGAGGGAGAGATGATGTGTGTGTGTGAATATCTATGGGAGAGAGTATGAATGTGTAGGCGAGCGAGGCTATATGCATATGAGAGAGAATGTGTTTGTGAGAATGCTGTGATTGGATGAATCTGTATGACAAAAAGAGAATGTGTGTGTGTTTTTTGAAAGAAAGAGAGACAGTGTGTGTATGTGTTTGATAATAACATTACATTTGTAAATGTTCAATTCAATTGATAAATAAAAATATCAAAATCTGAGATTTCTTCTGTTTGTAATTTCTCAAATGTTTGTATTTTTATTCAGTAAGGATAAAGCAATCTACTGACATGACAAACAAATTGAAATTCTGGACACACAGCCAGAAAAAAATACCATAAATCCTAAAAATGGACAAAAATTATGTGAAACATCAACGCAGAAATGTATTTATTAACTGCATGGCAGTTCACGAAAAAATGAGAGATTACAATAAAATCATAGAGAAATGTGTTGTTCAATTACTGACATAGATAGATAGATAGATAGATAGATAGATAGATAGATAGATAGATAGATAGATAGATAGATGCAAACAGACTGAGATAGATAGATAGATAGATAGATAGATAGATAGATACATACATAGATAGATAGATAGATGCAAACAGACAATAGATAGATAGATAGATAGATAGATAGATAGATAGATAGATAGATAGATAGATAGATGCAAACAGACTGAGATAGATAGATAGATAGATAGATAGATAGATAGATGCAAAGAGACTGAGATAGATAGATAGATAGATAGATAGATAGATAGATAGATACATACATACATACATACGAACAACCCGTGATAGATAGATAGATCGATAACAATCGATACTTCGTCTCCTTTTTGTTAGAAACATTCAACACTAGAAATATTCAAATGAACAACTGAATAATTCCTGAAAATGTGTTCCTATGAAATTTTTGTTAAGACTACATTTAACCACAAATCGGCACGTGGCCGATTGGTTAGGGCTTTCTGACCATGAAACCCGTGGTTAGAATCTCACCTTATCGGACTGGAGCGTGCCTGAAAAACCAAACCATAGGTTGACCCAAGCCTTGTGAGTAAAATTGGGCAGTCGATAGCTGTGCTAGCACGAAGTCACTAGTCATCGTGACCGAGGGTTTGAGTGTGCTGGCCTTGTCCAGATTGTCGATCATGCCAGAAACTGTAAGTAAGGTCTAATCAGCATAATTGCAGTATGAATCACAGATGGGCTCTGTGGGTGTTGAATAAACACAAATGCGCCTGAGCACTATTTTCTATGGTTAAAAATAGATTTTCTTGGTAAAAAACATCCCTCTTGATAACAGAAACTACATCACTTGAGGACTAACAACAGCAGCAACAACTAAAATGGATAGCACATGTAACTTGAAGAGAAAATAATGGCATAATCAAGATATTGACATTCAATACAACTCAAATAAAAGGTTAGAAAGGAAAATCCCCATCAATAATGGAAAGAGCGATAACAAAAGCAACAACTAAAATGGATAGCACATGTAACTCGAAAAGAAAATAATGACAAAATCAAGATGTCGACATTCCACATAACATCAAATAAAAGGTTAGAAAGGAAACCCCCATCAATAATCAATAATGGACTTAAGAAACCTATATTCGTGAAAGATTGTTTTAAGAGAAAGATTTTATAAATTTCAATCGAAAATAGTTCTGGCTGCTCGGTCAATGAATGCCAAATGTTTCATTGTAGAGTAACAGCTAATATTACCATTATCATTAAAAATGATTTCTGTCAATATAAACGCAATCAACACCCATCTTCGGATGGTGGATGTTATGGTAAATTATTAATTTTTGTAGCTTTCCATTATCGCCAATCAGATACAGTTATGATGAATGGTTGTCCCCTCGGGGAGGCTGCGTGCCGTGATAGACTATTGGGTCTTAAACTCACCCCTAAGTGGAACTCGTATATACGATTCATCGCTAAAGATGCAAGAAAAATGGTCGGTTCTCTGTATCGCTCCAGTAAGTACCCGACTCCTCGTGCTATGCTCTACCTTTACAAAAGTCAGAGCAGTACTGTTGTCGCATTTGGGCAGGAGCTGCCCAGTCCTCACTTTCCAATCTGGATAGAGTCCAAAATCTTCTCCATTTCCTTGTGAGTGACAAATTATTTTCCACCCTCCAACCCCTCTCTCACGAATGGGATGTGGCTAGACTCTCACTGCTCTATCTTCTATGGAAAGTGCTCGGGCGAACGGGATTCCTTGGTTATGTCTGTTCTAACCCTCATGGCTATGACCCGCCATGTCACTCACATTGTAACAAATCACCTTTATTCCTTCTGTCTTCCATTGGTGAGAAATAAGTTCCACTCGATGTTTCCCCGAACACTACAATGTTAATCTGTTTAAGTCTAGGGTTAATCGTTATCTTCCTCTACAATCCGCATAAAATGTAATCCCCTACCTCGAGTAGCAAATTTATAACCATAACCCGATATTATTATTAAAATAATCTTCTGTAATCTCGAGACGCATATGAGTCGAAGAATTTTACTCGTATTATTTTCGGTACCCTTAGTTTTAACCTTCTACATTTTTGTTACTTCGATTTGCAGATCCTTATTATTTTACATTTTTTTTATTTCTTTTTTAGAAACATTCGAATTCTTTGGGTAAGTCATATCAATTAGTTGGCAAGTTCCTTTTTTGAAATCATTTATAACTATTTCTAGTCTGTTTGCATCAATTTTCTTGTCCGTGAGGATTGCGAAATTCTGTAGTATAGCCATTCCATCACCATTTGATAGTGTTGGTACCATATATCTGGGATTTCAATACCATACTTCAAACAGATATGCCACTGAATAGATTGTCCAAGCCTGTTATGTCTCATAATTTCTTCTTCTTCTTCTTCTTCTTCTTCTTCTTCTTCTTCTTCTTCTTATCATTATCATCATTTGTGTATGTTATGTTTCCTGCTTTGTATCCTGTAGATTCGGCGCCAACCTGTTGACGTCTCCTGATTCCCTGATCTATCCCCTAACCGTCTCTTCATCATTTCCTCTATCACTCCTCTTTGTTCTCGCTTCAACTCTGTAACTCCTTGCGTGCTAGTGGCTTCCCGCCTTGCTTGGAGTTGAATGCTAAAAAACAAAAATGTCTAATAATTCTTTCTCAGCAAGGACTGGGCATCCTAGTTAACAGTTTCATCAAATTTATAGCATAAGCGATAGGCGGGATTTGAGCCACCATTGTTGATTTTAGACTTGTAGGCATTAGTTGGAAGACATTGATCATGTGCTGTTATAATGAGGCCTACTGTTTCCTTAAGACAACTGCTTCTAAGCCATTGATGGGTTTGGCGAACTTCGTTGTATGATTCATCCAGACTCTTTGGATACTTTCCAAGAAGGTTCAGAATATTTGTCTTCTTGAGTATCTGTTTACATCTAAGGAGTTTCATATTTCTTGGCTTTGTTTAATGATGGAAGTATTCTTATTACACTCATCTTTGAATACAACCTTTCGAGACTTATCCCGTGTCATTTCTAAGTATTTCGCTAGACCTGTGATTGATTTTTTAAATGATATTTCTAACTGAATGAGTCCTTATCTTTCTTAGGAATGTATATTCTATAAACATCAGCTTTGGGTGGCGCATGCAATATTCAGTTAGTAGATTAAGTATTTTGGAATCAATGCGTGTTATATGACTAAAGCTCCATTTTATAATACCAAAGATGAAGGTAACAACGTATATTACCAACGAATTTATTGCCTTTATTCTAGTCGGTAACTTCAATTCTGATTGAAATACCAGACGCACTCTACGGTAGAATACTTTTCTTATCTTTTCCTTCTTTTTTGAGTGTTGTATGCCACTTCCGTTTTGAATGCTTAAGTATTTATACACTTCCTCTTGTTATAGAACCCTGTGGGTGTGTTGATCTCTGTCACTATATTACTAGATCTGACAAATTTTCCTGCTTTAAATGTTGCCTTCGTACACTTTTCCAGTCCAAATTTCATTCCAATATCATCACTGAAATCCTTTACTATCTCCAGTAGGGATTGGAAATCGTTGCCATTTCCCACACAAAAAAAAACTTCAGGTCATCCATGGTGATTAATGGTATGATTGTAGATTTTGTAGCCCCTATTTAAATCGTAGAGCTATTTGGACAAAGGAGAAAAGAGGAAGACGGAAGAGGAGAAGGGAAACGAGGAAGACGGAATAGGAGAGGGGAATAGAGGAAAACGGACGAGGAGAGGGGAAACGAGGAAGACGGACGAGGAGAGGAGAAAAGAGAAAGACGGAAGAGGAGAATTGAGAAAGACGGAAGAGAAGGGAAAAAAGAATGACGGAATAGGAGAGGGGAATAGAGGAAAACGGACGAGGAGAGGAGAAAAGAGAAAGACGGAAGAGGAGAAGGGAAAAAAAAGGAAGAGGAGAGAGCAAAAGAGAAAAGCGGAAGAGAAGAGAGGAAAAGAGGAAGACGTAAGAGGATATAGAAAAAGTGGAAGACGGATGAGGAGAAGGGAAACGAGGAGGACGGAAGAGGATAAGGGAAAAAAGGAAGACGGAAAAGGGGAAGGGAATAGAGAAAGACTGAAGAGGAGAAAGGAAAAGAGGAAGACGGAAAGAAGAAGGGAAAAGAGAAAGCCGGAAGAGGGGAGGGGAATAGAGAAAGAATGAAGAGAAGAAGGGAAAAGAAGAAGGAAGAGGAGAGGGAAATAGAGGAAGACGGAAGAGGAGTGGTGAAAGTGAATCACCTTTGTATATCCGGCAGTTGATGCTTATTGTATTTATTTTAGTATCACCATCTGTGTGAGTAAGTATGATGGATGTCTTCCATGCATGCAGACTGATCTTAAGAAATTCAATGATTAGGAGTGAAATTTTATAGATCTGTACAGATTTAATGATCCAGTCACGAGCGACATTATAAAAAGCTATTTTTGCAATCTATCTAAACAATGCTTAGTTTTCTACATGAATTCTTACAGCTTTCTAGTATCATTTTGTTAATCAGGAATTATTCCCTGCGTTCATATAACCTTTTTTTCTTACCTTTTGTTCTTCTGGAAAAAAGTTATTATTATTGTTGTTGTTGCTGCCTCTCCTGCTGTTTATTGCTGTTTGATGCAATCATCTACAAAGTGTTTCACTTGAGATTTCTAAAGAACTTATTAAGAATACCGGATTGAAAGAGTTTTCTAATATGTGAGCAATTAACACTAGGATGGCCACCTCCTTTGACATCTTTATTTCCATTACGCCGTGAAGAAGCCATCTCTAATATATTCAATATTCAAGTCAAGAATAACAAGTCTGAAAAGAAATTCACAAATATTAGTATACCTCATACTGAAAGAAAGTGATTATATATATATATATATATATATATATATATATATATATATATATATATATATATATATATATATATATATAAATTATGTGTGTGCATAGATAGATAGATAAGTAGATAGAAATGGGACATAAACACAAGTATTATTGCTTGTGAGAAATCTTTCAATGCATTTACCCTATAAATAGACTAGGTGTCAAAAACGACACATCGGTAATTCAAGGTAAAACTTCAAATATCAGCTGTTCCACTGAATAATTTTTAAAGAATTAAGTCTGTTAAGCATCTTTGCTAAAATTCAATAATTGTCCATAAGCCTCAGCATCGAACCAAAACTAGTTATTCCATAGGAATTTGTTGAAAATTTGAAGGTGTCGAAAACGACACCTCGGCCATCCTAGTGTTAACCCAATTTTCTTTATTTCGGCACTGTGTAACAACATTTTGACTTTTTTGTCATTGGTCAGTAAGTTTTATTTCCTAATTGTTTCTGTCTAGAAAGAAAAGAAAATTATTATTATTCTCTTCAAAGTTTGCTTTTGGTGACCTGGACATCGATATTTTCCATTACATTCCAGACAGATTCAGCGCTCAGTGTCTGAAGGAGACTTTTCTAGAACTTTCTAAAAGTTTCAAGAATTTTCGAGAAGTTTCGAAAATTTTCTAGAACGTTCTGACAACATAGATGACAATATAAATACAGGGAACATAAACATTCAGATCAGTTTACTTATCGCTATCCAAGTGCCGACAATCGTCGTTGATAGAATTAAATGTTTAAACGGTATCCAATACATTCTACTATAAATGAGAGGCCAAGCACGGAAGGTTCAAACTCTGCAACAATAGAATCTGGGTTAGTTGCAGTCAGCAGATGCCGCAAAAAATGGCCTTGGAAAATGTCAAAACAAAAGCGAAAAGGGACACTATGGCAACATCTGCTAAAATGTGTGAAGCTCACACGGCATATTTCAGCAAGACTGTTGGGTATCAAGACAAACACTGGGTACCCTATTTCACCTGAGAACTCTACAAAAGAACTCTTGAAGGTAAGATGAAAAGTTTTTCTTGTTTGGATAGTGAAAGGTTTGGATTTTTTTTATTTTAAATATTTTTTTACTTTTATTTTTTAAACCGGTGTTATTGAAACATATATATTAAATATATTTCAACAATCGCGCATTAGTATCTACGGCAACGATTCCCAACGTAGGGCGCATACCCCTCCGGTGGGGCATGGTAATATTTTGGTTGTGTATCCCTAGGATGTGCACCCTTCAGCTTACTATACCAATAGAATAAGTACGCAATTCTAGAATGAGTTATTAACAGTGAATTGTTTTCTAGTGAGCTCAAATTTCATTTTGCATTATTGTTTCATGATTAAAATGATTAAAATATATTACAAAATAATCTTTCATTCAAATATTTTATATTTCCGCCTTTCAGTTCTCAATTATATGTTTTGAAACTATATATATTTAACTGTGTTATTTTTTTTTCATTTTTCTCTTTCATGGACGCCATGGTCTTTGGAGGCTTGTTTAAAGACCAAGTTAACGGCCTTTTAAGCTTCCTTCACGTGAACTGCAGTAAAATTTTGAATATTAATATTGAATATTAAATATTACGGGCGGGGGGGTGCAGAATTTTAGAAATGCCAAAGTGGGTCATGTCTCAAAATCGGTTGAAAACCACTGGACTACGGTATCATAGATGTTTTCTATACTGGATCTGATATGGCAAGAACTACAAAGATACAGAATATCAGACATGTTCAGCATTCAAGATTCTGTATTTTTGTGGCATTTGCTGCATTGATTGGCGTCCAAATCAAAATTTTGCAGACGTCAGCGCACGATATTTGGAAATTTTAAAAATCAAAAATGCATCTTTTTTTAGAATTTTGTTGATGTATTTTCTTTAACGAAAATAAACTTGGCAATATATTTTTTTACTCAAGTCTTTGTTTTGTTTGTTGTTGCCTTTCGTCATTCAATATCTGTTTGCGGACAAATATACCACCCGCAACAACTGTGTGTAAATTTCGGGAAAATTTTCGGTAAATAGGCAAACACACACACAGAGAGAGAGAGAGAGAGAGAGAGAGAGAGAGAGAAAATGCTCTGTTTATAATAAACAGTATTAACGACATTTACCAACCTGAATGTCTGAGAAATTTTCATAGAAAATATGCGTCCTCCAACAGGAATCGAACCTGTATCCTCTCTCTCTCTCTCTCTCTCTCTCTATATATATATATATATATATATATATATATATATATATATATATATACCGTATATGTCGGCGTACAAGGCGAACCATTAACCTTTAAAAATCACCACAAATAGGGACCGTCTTATACTCCAGGTATAAAATGTGAACCTTAAATCCTGTGGATTATGATAAGTTTTTAGTATGGGGGATTTTTGACAGTTGGCCAACCCCTAACTTAATAACTATCTGCCATATATTTCTACTGAAATAACTTAACTCACATTTTTATAATAAAATCATAAAAGTGTAATGTAATGAAACTATTCTTACCTCATATAATATGTGCTATGATTGCATGACAACAATAAAACGCATATTCGTCAAGAGTGAAATCCAAAACCATCGTCACAGACTGTAAACAAAGCAACTGATAGCCTTGGATGCGTCCAAAGTGCTTCGCCAGACAGAGCGTTCGGAAAAGAAAGATGTTTATAGCAGTAATTCAAGGAAGAGACGGGTAATCATAGTTTAGCATACTATCCAGTTCTTGTCGGTACGAGCTTTCACTTTGTTACTAGCATTATCTAGGTTAATATTGTTAGAATCCAGCTATCACAAGATTCTATCATGGCCCCACCAAAAACCGGTAAAAAAAGGAAATATGTAGCATGTTCCAACTTGAAATCGGTAAACTTTGCTAAAGAACGTAATAACTACGCTGCTGTAGGACATTATGTTGTAACAGAAAAGAAGATTCAAGATTGGAAAGGGAAAGAAGAGACTTCAAAGAGCATTCTAAGGACTAAATGTGCATTAGACGCAGGCACCTTTTTTCATTAGAATTTCAATGAAAACAAATAATATATTTACTGAATTTATTTAATAAATTCAATACATTTTAAAATACTATTTGGTGGGCGTCATCCTGTACGGCGAATATAGCCCGAAACGTATAAACTAAAATTTTAACTAGAATTTGGGGCCTCGCCTTATACTCCCAACTACGCCAGCATATACGGTTTATATATATATATATATATATATATATATATATATATATAGATGCACGTTTCATTAAATAATATAGACAAGTTTTGTCTATTTATTTTAAGTAAGTTCCTTTCATATTGTCTGATAAGCTTAATAACATTCTCATTGAAAGACGAAAGGAAATCACCATATTGATACATGTTTAAATCCAATCTAAGCTTTTGGCTTACATAAGCCATTATCTAAGATGACAATTACATTTCAATATAGCAAACAATACACGGACGAAACAATAATGATAGTCTGTTTTTGTTGCATGAAAAATTTCAAAGCAACGACATACTCGTTTATATGAAACGCGGAAGCGAAAATCGCGTCGTAGCTCGTGACGTCACACATGACCACGCGAGAGTGAAAACGAGAAATATTAAGTATGGGATACCGTTGGTATAAACCAATGGCTTCTGTTATCAATTATAGGCATTTAAGAATATTTGTGGAGATTTCGTAGTTTATTTTGTTCAGGTTAGGTTTCAATTGTTTTATGCATATAGCTTCAAGAATTTTTAGTTTGTGTTTATTGTTTTTATGTTTAAGTATAGATGTGTTTATAACAAAGATTTTCCGGGATTGTGTACGCGGCCACAATATATATTATTTAATGAAACATGCATCAATGAAAAATTGCTGCCTAGTCAGAGATTGAGAGAAAACAGACAAAATGATAGAAACTGTTATTTTCAATTTTGTTTCGATTAGCTGTCATTGGTCAGACACGTTTCCCAAATGCTGGACCAGATTGATAAAATACCACCCCACCACATTCACACGATACGGCTTACCCAAAACGCACAAACCCGACAGAGTCATCAGACCCATTGTGTCCGTAATCATCAGCGCACCCCACAAATTATCTAGAGCCATTTCAAAAATCCTAACTCCGTTCCTAGGAACCATCAACACAACACCTGGTAACTTACGAAACATAAATATGCTAAACATGATTATAACGTGCTTAGATATCAAATTATTATTCATCAACATACCCATCACAAAATGTCTCAATATAATGAGAAAACACCTCAAAAAATCCAAAGAAAACCTTCCTCTACTCGTCCAGAAAATTATTTTTAAAAAATACAAACTAATCATTAACCACTGCTTCTTTTCTTTCAACAATATTCTCTACAAGAAAAAAAAATCGGTTTACCTATGGGGTCACCTATCAGTGGTATTCTCGCTTGCCTTTTGCTAGAATTCTTAGAATCCGGTTCATTTAAACACATCATATCAAAACAGCTATACTTACCTAAGATATATATAACGTTCTCTAATGATATATAATGAAACTCAATAAGGTTGAACCTACCATTGAATTCACATACGAATTTGAAATAAATAATTCTCTATCTGTCCCCGACATCTTATCAATAGGCAACAATGGGAAATTAGATTTTAAAGTTTGTCGTCAACCCACAAACAAAAACGATCTAATCTGCTTCTATTCCAACCACAACCAAAGAATAAAATCTAGACTAATCATAAGATTTTACCTCAGAGCCCTTAGGTAATATTTTCCAACGTATTTATTCTTCTGACGAAGTGTTGGTTAAAAAGCATACTTAAAGAATACTTTCCTACGTTTTCAAATATATATATATATATATATATATATATATATATATATATTGTTATGACATATTAACTCATTGCTACGTTTTTAACGACAATAACAACAACATTAATAATAATAATAATATTAATAATTACAGCATTAATTCCCTTTCGTTAGGAAACATCAAAATTACATCACTTAGCGTCCTCCATCAATTCTTTCCTTTCGATAAAGTCGAGATATTTTAAAATGTTATCAAATTTAAATTTGAAAGCATAAGGTTATTTTTTCATAATGATAACTTTTATGTTTGTATAAATACGCATTTCTCAATAAATTTCTACAGTTGCCTTGATGAAATTGCTTAATGAATTGAACACGTTTGTTTGTTTTGTTTGTTTTGTTTTTTTGTTTTTTTTGTTTGTTTTTTTTTTTTTTTTTTGTGTGTGTGTGTGTGTGTGTGTGTGTGTGTGTGTGTGTGTTTTATAACACTTTCAATCACTTGTCCGCTGCTGCCATCTTTTATCTAAACCAGTGCATTATTTGTTCTGATACTACCGTAGAATAATGCATGCGATTGCTCGTAAGTTCGATCCCAAAAATGGAGCTGCTGCCAAAGATGCATTAGGTCACTTTTGTTATATCTGATCATCATTGCAAACCCCAATAATGTAGTTTAGTCACAGACTAAGATGAGTAATTATGCAGCCGATTCTACGTAAAAGAGTCAGCCGCAATGCCCGTTTGTTGCTACTTCGAAGGCTTTGATTGGTTCATTTGTTGCTATTTTGAAGGCATTTATTGGTTCGTTTGTTGCTATTTTGAAGGCTTTGATTGGTTCATTTGTTACTATTTTGGAGGTTTTGATTGGTCGATTTTTGTTTCATCTTCTTTCTACTCGGTTTGAATTAATGGTAATTTGAACACCGCTATGTTAAAGATAATTTTATAGAAATTTACTAAATTGAAATTAGTTTAACGCAAGGCTACATAAGTTGTGCTGAGTTAGTGGCGACAGTTTGCCTTGAAAATAAACCTTCGAAATCCTGGCTTTTACCTGGTCTTGAACACAGACCACTGGCACTTAAGGAAAATACGCAATTGCTTCAGCCACCAAGCATAAGATTTTCGCATGGCGAATCTATGAAATATGTCTGATAATAAAAGAAATAAATTTGAGAAGAAAAAACATCAACGAGTTTTTTTGGTTTTTTTTTGTTATTGTAGTTTTTTGGATTAGGAATTTATTGCAGAAATAGAATTCATGTGATTATCAATAAATTGACTTACAATATTTATGAAATAGGCGAAAAATCAGCAAATAGAAGGTGATTGGCACCAGCTGATTGCAATAACGAACGATAATTACAGATCACTCAATTTCGATCATATAACATTTAAATGCCATCAAATTTTGTATCGTTTATAATTTGTGAAAATACTTTGATAATAAATGTTTAAAATGATCGAAATAAAGACAAAATACATTTTTGGGTGGTAACGTTATTGACTAAGCTTAAAATCTAGGTCATGATGTAGCCGGTGAGAATCGAACTCATTACACTAGCGGAGAGACTTTGTGAAATAAGCCGCGGCAGACTTCCACTTATTAGGTGATAAATAATATTAAGGGATAAATAATTAGCGAAGAAAAACATATTCTTTAACTTTCAGATGCAGTCTGAATTTTCATGATAATCCACTGTGATTTAAAACTCAGCGACTTCAAAGATCGACCGATAAAAAGTCTCAAATACAATATAAATTAATCCCAATTTAAATATATTCTATGACGTTAAAATCTCAACAATGAATTCCTTGTAAACTATTTACTGTCGTTGAACTTATTTAAAAAAAAAAGGCTGTACATTGATTTGATTGGCCAGAATATTGAAAAAATCAACGTAAATAAAAGTTACGTAGTACAATCTGATTGGTCAAAAGAAGGACTTTTCTGTAAATATTTATTAAAACTAACTTAATCTAGCAGTACACAATAATAGCATAATAAACCACAAGTCTTGCTATCCACTGCTCTACGGCAGGCGCTTAAAAGAAACATCTTTCTTTTCTGTGCTGATGTTATATACGTTATTTATAGATATTTAGTATTTAGTTACTGGTTTTCGTTCAATTAAAAGATAAATGACTTACTTTAATAATGTACTTTACCTAGGAATATAAATATGAATATTTGCTTTCTTTAGTCAGGCAAGACCAAGAAAATGTCTTCTACCACAAAATATAAATTGCTCAGAATTTTTATTGCTTTTATGGCATCGCTTCGAGCAGGAAAATAATAGCAATAAAGAAATCTGTGTTCATTGTAAAGGGCTTTCCGTGACTTAATCGACCATCACCTGTATTCACGTGACACCATGTAAATATAGATTGCTAACACATTGAGGCTCTTTAAAACTTACCGTGAAATACTGCCAGAATTTTGCTTTCCACTTAAATTTTATAATTGCAGAAATGTATATTATTAGATAGATAGATAGATAGATAGATAGATAGATAGATAGATAGATATGAACAGATTGTGAAATACAGAAAAGAACTGAGATAAATATAGACAGGTTGTGATGTATAGATAATAACTGAGATAGATAGATAGATAGATAGATAGATAGATAGATAGATAGATAGATAGATAGATTTGTACCAATATATGTTGTATGTAAGATCAATGTACATGTGTATGTATATAAATACATTTATATGAGTTTAATTCGTCTACGACAAGTTCAAGGCCCTATTGAAAGAAACCGCTGGACATATTGAACCCATAATCAATGCCCTGCGAGAACTGCCTGTATTTTACTCCCGAAAAAGTGTAAATTTATTGCATTTGGATATCACTGATATTTCAAATCATACAGTGTACTCGTTCCAGTAAAACCATAGTCATGCGCTGCGGCACAAGTTTAGGAACGCAGTTGGCTATTTTAAAAATGACCATTTCAAACCTTGGATTTACCCGAATTCAAAATATTATAACCGTTTCATCCACTGATCAGGCTTTTAGAGGTGCGTATGTGCTGATTAATTCTAGTTCCATGATAACTGCCCCGGGGAGAATAAAGATGTGTGTGTTTGTGTGTGTGCACATGTATCTTCACACCTGCATGTGCGTTGGTGTGTGTGTGGTTCTGCGTGCATATGTGAGAGAGATTTATTAACCCGAATGTTTGAGCATAATTAGTATATGTATGTATGTGCAATAAGAAACACCTGGAATTGAACTTCCGACCTTTGAGCTTCCATAATGTTACATGAGTATTATCAAATTCTTAAATTTAAATGGTAATTTAATAATTAGAAAAATAACAGATTAATAATTGTATCCATTTTTTTTAATTGAATTGAAACCGCAAAGACTGATTTTTTCTGACGGGAGAAATTTGATTCAACTGCTTGTAATAATAATAATAATAATAATAATAATAATAATAATAATACACAAAATGATTGTCGTAAATCTTCCAATATTTTTCAACACTTAAGAGAAGAGCGCGATTTAAGCAAAGAAAAAGGAAAGAAAAAACAGTGTTTAACAATGTTCAACAATATTTCAACAGAATGTCTGTCTTTAAGTTATATTTTTAAAAATACATAAATCTACAAAAAATTATAAGACTTTGTACATTACAAGACAAACAACGTTTGTACTAAGACTTAATTTTTTGTAGATTTATATACTTTTATACTTGAAAAAATTGTTTAATATAACTTGAAGGCAAACATTCTGTTGAAATATTGTTTAACAGTGTGAAACAATGTGTTTTTCTTTTCTTTTTTTCCTCTTCTCTTCTCTTAACTAATTAATTAATTAATAATAATAATAAAGGTACACTATTTATATTATTCGGTCTATTGTCTTCATCTTTGTCGCCATGTTTATCACAACGTTTCGGTCGTTGTACACTCCGGCCTTCTTCAGGTGGTTGGAATGTAAAACTGAACCCTTTATTTCGCTCACTAGGGTAGATTGTTCTAGTTCCACACATGGAACAGTGGATAAAGGCGTTAGTTAGATCCAGTGACAGGACCCAAAGAGTGTGAGTTCAATACCTGGTTAAGGCAGTGAAGAACCTGGTGAGGGGAATTAACAGGAGATAACTGATGATAATTGACATCCATTAGACATGGCACGTGGAACTAGAACGGTCTACCCCAGTGAACGAAATAAGGGGTTCAGTTCGACATTCCAACCACCTGAAGACGGCCGGAGCGTACAACGGAGGAAAACGTTGTGATAAATATGGCGACAAAGATGAGGACAATAGTCCGAATAATGTAAATAGTGTACATAATACCTCATCTCAGAAATATAAACAAATAATAGAGGTATAAACATCATCCTGAACCAGTCATAAAAAGAGATGGAATCACTATTCTTTGGGAGTTTACCATTCAAACTGGCCTGACATAGTAATTAAATACTGTAAACAAAAACGCTTTCTCATAGATATAAAATGATATTACGTAAAAGCATATATGTTAAAGAATTTGATAGAATAAGTAAATATACGGATGTTGAAAATAAAATTGAACAATGAGGCACCTTAAAACTACTGTTATACTGATGATAATTGGAGCCCGGATACAATCACAAAAGGTGCAAACAAGAACAATAAGAACCTTGCTAGCAAAAGATTAAAGATTCCTGCTTACGACAGATTCAAAAAATGGCACTGTATGAAACTGCTCATTTGCTCAAATAAAATAAGGGTAAAGACCCGATAAGCAATTGTACTGAACAGAAAGCAAAGGTAGATAATAAAACATAAAACACTAACAGGAGAAAAACCACAACGTCTATGACCTTTACCTTGAAAATATATACCCATGTGCCAAATTTCAGCTTCCTAAGCGCAAAACTATGGCTTACAACTTGGAACATACATTTATTGTTATATATATATATATATATATATATATATATATATATATATATATATATATATATATACATACATACATATATATATATATATATATATATATATATATATATATATATATAGATTCAGATTGTAACCCAGCTTCAAGCTTATACATACTGAACGGATTGTATTACATATTTTCCTTAACGAACCAAAGCGTGTAAAAAATTGCAAATTTAAGTCCGTTCACTTGAAATCAAGATTTAGACAGTGGTGATATTTTTAGAAAATTGGCAAAGAAAAAGAATCCCTTAAAAATGGTTTTCCACTTTTAAAATGAAAATTAAAAAAATAAAATGAAAACAATCCTTAAAATATTAAGTATACATGCCGCAGGAAGTTTTTATGAAATAATTCCATCGAAATGAATAAGTAAAACTTTAAAATGAATAACACGTTGGCTTCTTACTGTACTTAGTTTAGCCTAATACGAAGGCATAATGACATTGGGAACATGAGATTAATATTTGATTAGACTGTTATGTTGTTTTTATCCGTGGACTATCCCAGGTATTTTAGACACAAGACTCAACCTTTATGGAGTCTTGAAACCAGTGTAGTTTTACTCAAAAATGAATTTAATAAAAGCACATGTCACATGTTAATTTGACGCTATCGGTGAAATTAACTTTGTCCGGTGATTGACTAGAATAGTCGGGCGTCAAGTGAAGATCGAACTCACGACATGAGTGTTGCTATGAGGGACTAGATAAGCAATATCGAGCGCCCGCCAGAAAGTATAAGTAGCCGAAGAGTATAAGAAGTAGAAGGTAAGTAACTTACGATAAACCATCAACAAATCTCGATAAATAATTTCTAATGAGGGAATACAAAATGAACTACAAATGTCAGAAATGCAAAATATTTTTAAAAGACAAAACAATTAAGAACAACTGAATCAAAACTGACTCGTAAAAAAACGGTTTACATGTGAAAGGTATTGTCTTCTTTTTGACAGGACGAATTTACTGATGTTTTAAGAAGACCTTGAGAGCACACGTGACAGCCCGTTGGTAAGGATAGTCAGTTGCTGCCTAGCTCTCGACGGAGGGAGGATGCGGTAGCTACTTGTAGTTCGGCTGAACAGGACGGACGATAGTTTCCGTGCGTCCTATGTAGGAACCTCTGACATATCACCAGGGCTTTACTATGTCCTTCTTGAGGTCGTTACAAATAAGAGCTTCTTTTATTTTCGTTCCCTTCTCATACTGCTTACCTGGTTTAATTTATCGTTGTGGGGAAAATTTGTTATGTATACATGCATACATACATATACATGTTTGTGGGGTGCGTGTGGCGCATCTTAGTATGACATATCTGTGTACTTCAATGTTGTATATAAAATGTTACCATATATTAGTCATTTTTGGAAGTCATTTCTTTGTGTTATTCTAGTCCTTCTTTCAGTTGTATTAAGATGTTAATATATCACGGATATACTAATCTCTATAGTGGATCTTGAAGAGTGGAGAAGACCAACGTATTTCCTCTCTCTTTCCAATCACCTCATTAACGCCATTATTGATAATTTAATAGGGAAGATAAAAAAAAAAACACGGGAAAACATTCACAGAATTTCAAGTGCCAAAAGATGCCATTAAACAGGTAATTATTCAGTTAATTCCCTCTTATAAAAACCTGTCCTGAGTATGACGATAAACTACATCCGCGTCCTGTGTATGACGATGAACTACGTCCAACAGCAAGGCCTCTGATCAGGAGATTTTGAGGGGCGTGGAAACACCTTTTAACTTCTGATGTTCCCATGTCCACCAGGGGTGGTAGTACCTGTTAGGGTCCCATCTATGGGTAAATAGCTAACCGCCCCAAACTGGGGTCAAACCACTATGAAAGTGTAAAAATATGTTTTAATACCAGAAATACTTTGCCAAAATTATTACCAGGAATACATTCTTACCAGCAATACATTTTGGAAAAAAATATTACCAGCTATACATTTCTTGCAAAATATTACCAGTGATACATTTTTGGAGGAAAAAAAATATTACCAGATATAGATTTTTGAAGAAAAAAATCTTGCCAGAAATACATTTTTGAAGGAAAAAAAATATTACCAGCAATAAAAATTGTCGGCATTAAATAATCCATTGTGGTTGATATGCCGTAAAACAAAACAAACCCAACTTATAAAACCGTCGTATCTCTTTGAATATGGTGGTAAGAATTCGTTTTCAGATCTACTTATAAGGAATGATCGAATTTAGTGAAGACCCGCAAACATCTAGGAAGTAAGCAAATGCAAAATCAGTTCAGATGCCATGAGATTTTGATAATTAACCAAAATGTCAAGAATTTTTAAAAACATATCCAAGGTCTCCAAGATTGGGTCAATCGTCACAATCATTCCATTCCAGTGTTCATATCGACACATCTTACCAAACTCACTACAAATGAGCGACATCTAAAGGATTTATGACATTTTTTCCAAATTCGATTTGTGCTTATGTCCAAATGACATGAATAGATTTTGTTATTGATTTTACAAGTATGAAGTTGATCATATAGGATTAAGAAGAACCAACTTACTTAAGATTTCTTCGTACATCTCTTTCTTTAATCCAGTCACTGCTGTCTACGATGATATCAAATATGATATATATAAACAGGACAACGTTGATTTTACAAGTAACCGGCCTAGTAGGGTGCATATGATTACTCTTTTTAGCTTATCGCTTAACAGATATATCAACTAGATTAACCAGGATACCTACTCCACAAAATACAGTTGATTAATTATTTATTGATTATTCAGTATCAGAACTGAAAAATAACATATATCATCTGTTAAGCATATATCATGATTTACATCTTTGGTTTTGTAGATGCCAAAAATGATGCTTAAGACAAATGTCGTTACTTTCGCTAATTGACGGATATATATTTACACTATTTACATTGTTCGACCAGTTGTCTTCATCTTTATTGTCATATTCAGGACGTTTCGATCGTTATACGCTACGGCGTTCTTCGTGTTATATACGTTGAATTTTCCCCAAGGGCACACGGCACAGTCGATAAAAGCGTTGGTTGATGTACTCAAAGAGTTGTGAGTTCAATGCCTAGCCACATCAGAGGTGAACAAAAAACTTGGAGAGTTGAATTACTAAAGAAAAATAATTGAAACTGAGATATCCAGAAAAGGGCATGGCACGTGGAACTAGAACAATCGACACCGGTGGACGGAATAAAGGGTTTGAATCGAAATTTCAACGTATATCAACGGCCGAAACGCCGTGAATATGACAATAAAGATGAGGACATCAGTCCGAACAATGTAATTAATGTAAATAGTTACAATACATCGTCTCAGAAATATAGACAGGTGCTGAAGAAGGCCGGGGCGTACAACTGCCGAAACGTCGTGAATATGACAATAAAGATTAGAACAACAGCCCGAACAATGTAAATAGTGTAAATAGTTACAATACATCATTTCGTAAATATAGACGAAGCATATATATATTTGTCAGTCTGGATTACGCTTAATGTACAGATACATTTATGGACCACCAGGTGAGGAAGGAATAGATTATAATTACTTACTAGACGATTTTTTTAACCAGAATAATGACATATTGCTAGCGTACGGAGTCGGCCCTTCGACCGTAAAACTTTCTTCAATCGCCATTTTCTACTAATTTAATCATCAAAAGGAAATTTGTTGTTTTGATGGATGATGTGTGCTTGTCCTATTTATGCTATACATTGATTTATTTTCTTTTGTTTATTGAATAATTCCGCTTTTTAAAACAAACAAAGAGTTATTTCTCCCGCCAAAAATGTGTCATGTGAGATTAGTCTAAATAATTCGCAGCTCGAATTATTTTTTCCGAAAAATGTAGTCTTCGATATATCTGAACTGATTGAAACATTATTTTTAGTTTTTTATTCGATCATAAATCCATCTAGAAAGGCATAATTGAGCCCGTTGCCGAGAAATGGTCGGAAAAGCAGTCGTCCCGTGCTTATGATGCATTAATCTGTGAATACTGACCATAATTTGATTGATCAAAAATCGATCTGATCTTAATAAAATTCGCTTCTGACCAGTATTTTCTTCCGAAAGATATCTCACATTTAATAATCAATAATCGATATTAATTATAAAGATAATCGATAGTCTCAAGCGGTTTCCGATAAAACAGTTTGCAGCATATGAGTGCAAACATTAAAAATTATAGCCCCAAATAATATTTTATGTTATCATGGTTAAAGAGATCGTAAAACTTTTAAGGATATTTCATTATCAACATCTACACCGATCGAGCAAGCAACTGCGGCTATATTATGCAAATTAACCTTGTTAAATCAACTGATTGATATATAGTCAAATATTGACGAAGGAAACAAGACAACTTTGACAGAAGAAACTGCGTGAAAAAGCTGAGTGAATGAAGAATAAATTCATTAGACCAAACATCAAAATAGGAAAAGCAAATAAGAAAACATCTTTTGCTCTGTCTCCCGAGACAAAAGAAAAGTGTCTCATCATCATGTGTTGATGGACAGATACATCACTTGAATTTTCCACTTTTATAAAAAGGATGAACCTAATAACGTCTAAAGATACATAGCCATTCATGGCGTCAAACTTCACAAGGAACAAGATATCTCTTCAAATTCAATGTTAAAGACTTGTTTCATTTCTATATAGAACAACGACTGCTGGCTTTACCGGGTGCAAACTCTCCGCCAGTAATAGATAGATAGATAGATAGATAGATAGATAGATAGATAGATAGATAGATAGATAGATAGATAGATATTTTTTTAATATGGTCGTTAAATTGCTTGATATTTTCACCTAATAATGAAAACACCCACTACATTGAACTTCGATTTCAACCTCCCTGGTCAAATATTATTTTAAAAAGTTTGCAAAAAAAAGAAGGAATGGCGTAACAAATATTGGCATCTGAAATTCCATTCAAAAGAAACCAAAAGAAAGTAATCTCTAATTGATTCTTCTTTTTCAGAAAAAAAAGACAACATGGATTTTTTTTTTTTTTTTCAGAAACTGACACCTTTCATTTCATTGCCAAAATTACAGCAGGCATTTGTAGACTTGGTACATTGAGAAAAGAACCTTAAAATTATTTTATTAAAAACTGTATTTAGAATATAGGTAATAAAATGGAAAAATGCAAGGTTATATATATGTAAATATATAAATATATACACCAAGCGCGTATCTTTTAATGTGTTTACGATCCAATAGACTTAAAAAAAATCAAATTCTATAAATAAACTCATATATATATATATATATATATATATATATATATATATATATATATATATATATATATATGATCATGTAATATGTACACACATACACACCTATGTTTATATATGTATATAAATAGGTCGAATAAAGAAATAACCTCTGCAGAAAATCAAGCCCTCTTTTTGGAGCTCTATGTATAGGACTATGGAAGGCTAGAAGAGATATATAATGGAAATCCAAGTCATAAAATTTGGAAATGTTCATTCATGATTTTTTTCTTTTTTAATAAATTATGATCCAAATGTTTGTCTTGAAATTGTCCGTGGCCTCAAAATCTACTTTTCGAACAATAAAAAATGAAATGATTTCTTTTTATTTTTAATGTAAAAATGTCTTTGTTTTTAAAAGTTTTGTCATTGTTTGGCTGTTTTGTTTTTTCTGACAGCGAATTGTCCACAGAATTCGGAAATTGAACTTCAAACTTTACAGTTAGGTTCAGTTCCCTACAAAAAGTAAACGTTTTAATCTTTCTCGATGTCTTCTTCGACTTCAATTTCAGCTTCACTCAAACAATATTTCTTTACATCATCGGAACCGCAATCAACAATCTTGATCTTCTTTTTCGGCATTCCAGTCTCCTTGTTGGTTTCAATTTCAGAAATCTTCCGAATGACGTCCTACATAAATGGACAGAAACAAGAGAAACAAAAATTACACACTGTCGTTGTTAATTAATTACAAGTAAAAAAAAAAAAATGGACAAAAATGTGATTAAATTTAGTAAAGGCATAAACTGAAACTCCCTTGTACACTTTCTCATCACCAATCACTGGTTTCATCGTCTGCATTTGAATAGAGCGAGGACGAACCTGCACAAGTAATATATTCAGTTTTATGTGCATGCAACAATACTTCAATAAAAAAAAAAACATTTCTCTGAAATTTTTAACACCAACGACCCACAAGTATTTATTTTTTTTTTTATATATATATATATATATTCGTTCATACCCAGATATGGCATTGGGCACTTCAATGTGGAGTAGTGGTTAGCGAGTATGTCTCGTTAGATTAATTACGACTGAGTAGTAAGTTCGGTCCTTACAGGGTGCTCCATACGTTTGGCTTTGTGCCACATCTAAGCAATGCTCAGATAGTGGAGACTTGGACGTAGTGTAAGTAAGTTTGTCTCGCTTAGTTCAATTAGTAAGTTTGTCTCGCTAGTTCAATTACGACTGAGTAGTGAGTTCGATCCTCACTGGGTGTCCTATACTTTCGGCCTCATTCCACATCTAAGCTACGTTTATAAAACCACAATATCCGAATATGGCATCAATAATAATTTTATCGAGCTGAAATTTTGCTACTATATTGAAATATTCTAAGGACATATTCTATGTCACGTCTTGTTAGCAACAACTGGTACGACCAATTACTAAACATTCGGCAATGGGACAAATTAAGGAAAGGTTGAGTTCATGCCTTTTCCAAGAACATTGCACTATAATGGTTGTAGCTAGAATTTATGCGACATTTGCGGATGCCAATTTTATAAGTCACTAAAAATTTCGCCAGTTTTAGCCCCAAAGAATTCACTAAAAATTCTTTTTTTATCAATCTAAAGACATTCTATGTTCTTTAGAATCCTTTAATATATTTGGTATTTGGTGAAGACCAAAATTCATTAACGAATCTGGAATTCTTCTTCAGACGCTTCTTCAGTTTTCAAACCCAACAAATACTGTTCGAAGTTCTATCATTATTCAGACTAATATCCTCACCTTTGTTGTTTGGTTCACTATAATTCAGCCGGTGGGCTATCCGGACTTATTTAGATGTATGCTTCATTTAGTAATTTTAATTTTCTTAAAACTAGAATCATCAATTCTTCAATTCTCAGGTAAGTCGAGATAATACTGTTTGATGCTTATCCAGAGATTAGGAAGAAAAAAATGCTTGATTACATTAAACAATATACACTTTAAGAAAGCCAGATATCTTATCGACTTAAGTGTATTGATCGAAACAGCAAAGATAAGGATACTAATTTGTTAGGGGAAGCTAATCTCCTTTTCCTAAAAAGGAGGATAAATCAAAATACAATTGATGGCGACCAGCTGATACGCACGTGAAATTCATTGTTTCAATCCAAAGAAATCCTTGCTGTTCTCAGACAATGAATGAATAAAAATTGTTTATTTACACGTTAAAATACACTTGTCTTTTATTTTCATTCGTTTTTTTTTTCCATCCCAACAGCCTGGGATATAACATAATTCAAACAATTTATCGAATAACTCAACAAGTAATCATTGTATTATTATTTCTAGAAAGAATCTTTAATGTATAAATTCAAATATAGCAAATTTTTGCGAAATAGACTGCTCTGAAAATAATGGACGATTCTTCCTTCATGAAACAAAAAGTTGCTCTTTGCTATTCTGGTCATCGATAGGTTTTAGGCAATAGAAACTATCACCCACATATCAATATAACGAAGTTTTAGCTACAAATTTGGGTTGAAATAAGCGTGAGTCTACACGATGATTATAATACGATCAAACTTTATTTCCCTCTGAGTGTAAATAAGATGCAAATGTTTCACTTACGAATCCTTTAATGACTTTGCCGAAGACAACATGTCTCTTATCAAGCCATCGGGCTCTTACAAGTAAGATGAAGAACTGTGATCCATTAGTGTTCTTGCCGTGGTTGGCCATGGAAACGAATCCCGCGCTTCTGTGACTCAAGATGTAGTCTTCGTCATCAAAAGTTTCTCCGTAGATACTTTTTCCTAAGAAAGAGCAAAACATGTCGCCAAGATTAGATTTAAATGACCAATAAAAATGGATTTGATTTTTAGTAACGCTCATCAGTTAAAGACTTAAATTAAGAAAAAGGTTTGTGATTCAATCTCTACTGCCTGATTGTTTCTGACAAAAGAAAGTAAAAAAAGCCAAAAATCTTTTTTTTTCTTTACTAATTTTCGAACAGTACAATTCCCAAGAGATACTCAAGGTAGATGGTTACTGGATGATTTTGCTGCATGATAGGAAGAAGAGGAGTGCACTTTATGAGTTTATGTAGGAGATATAACGGCTAGACTTGAAGTAATCAGGAAAGCACCCTCTCAGGACACAAAGTAGCCGTCCTTGGGAATAAGTTGTTTGATTAGAACTTCCTTCTTACTAATGGGATTCGAAAGGAATAAGGATAATTTGCCCCAGTGTACGTTGTATGGCGCGTTTTAGCTGTGAATAACTGAACTAAGGAATGTAGCACGTCAGAACATTTGCCATGGAAATAGCGATATAGTAGCGAGAGGCTTGTGATATTTCGTCTGTGGAAAAGTGGTTGTAAAATAATGTATCACTTTCAAGGTCGCGTAGATGATTTTGATCTCAAACAGTGCAGCAACACTCCATATTTGGTCTGATCTGGCTCTTGTAAAGCTAGAGTATGGCAGGAGGAGTCCGAAACTTACTAGAGCGGTACAATGAATCGGCCATTTTTTCCAGCATCCTTAGCGAGTGATCGCATATATGAGTTCTATCTGAGGTTTGGAGTGAGCCCAAGTCCAAATATGTGTTCAAAGCAAGGAGCCTCCTTGATAGAAGATACATCCATTATAATAGGTGAAAGCTCAGGGTCTGCTCAGTGATGGTGGAACGTTACGAATTTGTTTTTGGGTGTATTGATTGTTACAAGCTAGTCCTTCCCCCATTGAGACTCTAGGGCGGGGTCAGTGAAGAGATCAGCTGTCAGGTTTTGGTCATTTAGATTTTGGAAGGTGCTCCTATACATTGTTGTATTATCTGCATAGATATTCTCTAAAGATCTGAGTGTGTTTTTAGGCAGATTATTAATATAGAGCAGAAAGAGAGTAGAACCGAGGAAAGAGACTTAGAAAAGTCTGATATTGATCTCGTGTTCTTTAGGTAAATGGCTGTTAACAACGACCTTCATGGACTTATCAGCTAGGAAGAACTTGATAATTGAGAAAACCCTTCCAGAAATTCCATAGCTGGAGAGTTTGTGGAGCGCCCCACCCCAATACCACACCTTGTCAATGGCCTTTGATATATCTTAGTCAATCTTCCTATTGACTTATTTACTGTCTAGTATTTCACTGATTCTATCACTATTAACAGTCGACATAGCAGAGCGAAATTTATACTGGATATCGTTCAGGAGTTTGTTTTTTTTCCTGTTGAAGAGTTCAATAAACTTCTTTTGTTGATTAAAGACTCGAAGAATTTGCTGATGACACTAAGGAGGCTAATGGGTCGGGATATTGTGACGGGGATAAGTCCTCACCCGCATCCTTAAAAAAAATAAAAAAATTAAAAAAAACAGGGCACACAGTTGACCCTTTCCATAGACTCTGGAAGCATCTCTACTTCAGGCAGTGGTTGTACAGATTTGCCTTAATTGGGAATACCTCTGGGCGGATATTCTTCTGTGATTTTGTCCGGACCGGTACCTCCTTAGAATCAAATATTTAGATACGTATGTCGTGATAGAGATATTACAAAATTTGTTCTCCGTGAGAGAGGAGAAATGCGTGTCTCTGATTAACATTATTGTAGTGATGGAGGCAAGTACTGCGCAAGTGTTTCAGATGCAGGAAGCCAGCTTGCATCAACATTAAAAATTCCCTTCCTTTAGATTTTTAAAAGACAGCTACTGTATCTGGAAGCAGACAAGATAAAACTTGGCATCAAATGGTATATAAATTGAAGTAGTCAAACAAATAGAAACAGTCATGCATTATTGTCTCTCACTTGTTGAAATGTATACAGCAGGGTGACGTATGCGTGTCGTAACATGTAAATAAGTAGTGTAGCCGTGGTAATGTAACTATAGCCGTCATAGAATGCAGACAGTAATTAACACAGTTTGACTGTGAAATGATTGAGTCAGGAAGATAGGAAACTTCCGAAGTTCTCTTTGATTTTTCTCGGGCAACATTAGCAAGGGTATACTAGAAATATGTGAATTCTGAACGGACATAGGCAGCATATGAAAACTGCAGTTGTCCTCAGGTGATGATAAGAATGATAGTCCCCAAATGTATCAAATCGTATTCCAATTCACCATTTTTACCGTTCAAGCGACAAAGTCAACATACTAAACATCGTACACTGCATTCCATACGGTTTTGTAATATTCGACCAAGTGTGTAGCATTAACACTACATGCTCTGTGACTAGTGCTAATTTTGGGGCGATTATGGTCACTTTTCGCAGTGGGCTGCTTGGCTGTCTACCCCAAAGTTGCACCGTCTCCATTTCTTACTGAAAATCAAAAGCTATCTTTTCACCAGGCGGGCGGTTTGCTTGCAATAATATATGACATAAGGAGTTTGCGTCGGCTAAATTTTATTTTCTTCATGTTGCTGACCACTCGTCAGAGACGGAGGAGGGGCAGTGAGAGAACTTCTCTACTACAGCTTTTTTTATTTTATTTATTTTTATCATTCGCTCACTCCCAAGAGAAAAACCTCACTAACAAAAGTTGGGGAAGGAAGTTGTTTTCTTACTCGGAAATCTCGCTTTCTTGCTTGTTCCTGATTAGTTAATTTAAAAAACCAATGAACAGAGTCTGCTACACCCAGTTCCTTTTACCCATTTTTCTCGCGGGATCTGTGCCCATCCACTGACCCTGTCAAATATATCGTATTTCAGAAATACGATTTATTTCTAACAACCTGTATGGCTATTTATTAGTAATATTTCTTTTTATCCCAAACTTTAAATTACTCTAATTTATTCCACATCTACAATGTTATAAGTGTTCCGTTGTTGACACAAAAGCTACTTCGCCTCATCGTAGAAGTTTAGTATCGCGTCGCGTTTCCAGATCTTGCAGAAAGGCAGCCGAGTTCATGTCTAGAGGAGATTGCATGAGGCTATAGTGGCCCTATAATGATATAGGTGTGTTCTGTTGGATTTCACAAGGACCACTAATGAAACTGAAATCTTTCAGGACAGGTATAACGTACACAAATCTAGTTGCGTACCATTTGCACGCCTTTATGCTCGCCGTGTTTCCTACTGCTGATTGTTTATCCCAACGGTGAAACGCGATCAGCCGTGAAAGAAATCAGGCTTCAGAAACGCTCGGTTGATTTCAGTTAATTCACTGAGCCTCTATAGGATATGTTTCAGACCTTATTAAATACACTGCAGACACACCCAACAAACAATAGTCCGAGAAGAGACTGAATAGATATGCTCACGCAATATATCCGGGGCTTCGTAGTCACGATGCAACATAGGCAAAGTGGGAAGCTTATCGTTATTAGGCAGCTGATACACCAATTAATAGCTAGCTAGCTAGCTTTCTCGCTAGCTAGATATGAACAGACTGAGATAAAGATAGATAGATAGATAGATAGATAGATAGATAGATAGATAGATAGATAGGAATAGCGACGTTGCTGTATATCAAAACAAAAAGGTTCGTGCATTATTTGTTTATTTATTAAAGAAATCTGAAAATATATATTAAAATGATCAGTGTGCGTAAATATATAAGCATCCACATACTTATAAAGATTCATAAATTTCTCTTGATATATATATATATATATATATATATACATACACACACAACTTCAAACGTTTTTTTTTAATTTTTACACCTAAAATCCGGGTACACACAGACCCCACAAGTGATTGAATTTAACCTGAAGGTTGTAGGATGTCATCTCTCTATTCAAAATGTTTGATTCAGTAATTATGATTAACAAATTATTCATTTATATTTTTTTTTACTAACAGGGATGCCTGGTTTAACCCGGGCTAAAATAACTTCAAATAGAAGAACACAAGAAAAATATGAAAAGCTTATTTATACGATTTGCATATAAGATGCCTACTATGTCCTTATCCTGAAAATAAATGTCCTTATCCTGAAATAAAAGACTATGTCCTATCCTGAAAAGAAAATTATCCTGAAATAATTAATTCAGTCTATAATATAAGCTTTGAGACTTGAGAAATTGGTGATAGACCACAAGAAGACAGAGACAACACCCAACACAACAGAAGCTATCTAAAATTAAGCTCTAGTGAAAGTCTCCAGGAGCCAGTATTATATATCCTATCATTTTTCTTTCCAAAATTCTCCAACAGTGTACCTGCAAATAGAGATAAACTCACAAACTAGTTTTACCTCCAATGAGCTCCAGTGATCTTGGAGGTCGAATCTGAACTAATCAATCCTGACAATCAATTTTTGTACACCATAGTAAACTGTATATAACACTACATTTGCTGACGACTCATAATCTATTCTACTAAGTAAGGTAATGTTTCTCAACCTTTTTAAGCAACGGCACACCTAGGAGCGGCTCGGATTGAGGAATTGGAGAGCCGAGTTCGAATTCCAGACGAATCCATTACATTCACTTATGTGCTAATACCCTTGGGAAAAGTATGAATCCTCTTCTTCCCCCCCCCCTTAGCTATGGGTAAATAGCAGGATAAACCGGGTTCTATAGCATTGGATGGCAATTGGTCTACCGCAGAAAGAAATGGCAACCTACTGCTGGAAAAAATCTGCCTCGTCAGTCACGTATCGAAAGATACATGATCGCCTAAGCGTGTATCACGCATGGCACATAACAAACTGACACCTAGGAGTAAATGAAAATATCACGGCACACTTAGCAAATTTTTTAAAGTCTATACATTTAAATGTTATGAAATAAAACCATAGATTGTTTTCTTAAATACACACACAAATATGAAATTATATTATTTCTATATTTCTATTAAAATTTCAATG